AAACCAGCAGTAACCCTAGGCGGAGTTCAAACCAAGAAATATTAGTCACTATATTTAGTGACCGTGTTGTTACTACTACTGATTTAGTTCGTGTCTGGGAAGATTTCACGCCTACGTACATGAACGTAATCAAACACGGTTGGATGGAACATAGAATGTCAGTAACAAACAAAACCCACTGAACACAACTTCGTAGACCGAATGAATAAAGTCTCCGTATGCCGTAAACTTAAAGTAATGTATTGCACACATGGCAATCCTAAACTTCACAACTTCTGAATGAGCATTCGTAATCTGCATACGACAGTTCTCTTTTACACATTCTGTGACTTGAAGCGATGAAGCTGAGTCCGGGAGCATTGGTTACTAATCCTTTCTGAAATAATCTGATAAACCTCCACAAAATGAATATAAGTCAAGTAGGAGTGACCACCAGAATAAGCCCCAACAAAATATCATCATAGGTCTTCTGAATATCTTAAACAGACAAATTTAGCTGCGACCGAATTATCAGACCGTTACAGTTTTTTTAAAAATTGTTGAAATCACGTCTCTTTATTTGTAGTGTGTTACTAAATATGCATTAAGATGGCAGGAACTGGTATGTACAACATACTTATAGTACATCCAAATGTTGGTTTACCTCGGCCTCTTAAAACACATTATGATCAAACTTTCAGCGCCAAAGAGAAGTTTGGATGCTTTAAGTGGCGGTCCTACACTGATTTGGTCCATCGCAGCTTTCTCCCATTCATTCATCATATGTTGTGATCGCTATATGATTTTGGTATTCTCCCTATTTTGGGGTTTCTGTGCCATTCACCTGAAATTTTCTACCGTGGATTCCCCAAAATATCCCTTAAACGGATAAATATTTCTCTGAAATCGGAGATTAGGAACTCACATCAGATACGATCCAATACTTTGAAAACTTTAAAAGGTTTACAAACTTGAAAACTTTGGATCGAGACCTGTAAAATAAGCTAAAAGGAGATAGTATTATCCGGTTTCACTAAATAATCTTCAGTACGCATTGAGTCACATTAAGTATCTGGTATTTTCCTTAACAACAAATCATCCACCAACACTCTAAATTTCGCGGAATACACATGGTGAGCTATATTAGTTCTGATTAATTAAAGGGCGTCAGTATGTAATAACTCTGTCGAATTTTCTGCCTCTAAGTGGGCATATTTAAAGACGCCGACTTAACAACTTCTTAGGATTCAGAATTTGTTCGCATTTCAAAAGGGTGTATAAACCATTGCAGACACAGTCAGACCGTTACGCCGTGGGTTTTCGCGCACGCCTAACGTTTTATCGAGGGTGTCGAAATGTCGCTATTTGTCAGGTATTAACGGTTTTTTCGTCCTACGTCACTTTTCGTAATGTTTGTGCTAGTAACATAGCTTTTTCGCAGTTTATTAGTAGTTTGACGTATTTGTTTCTCACAACCTGAGTGAATGTCTAGTCAACCTAGTGTGGTTATTCGTAACAATACAAACTCAAGCGAGTAAACTGCGCCATTTTTCAGGTCAAAATAGATCACTAATAGAGTTCTAAAGAAATTAAGCTCTAAAACCTTTTACATTTGGTTCACCTCCTTGATTATGGTGATGATGAACATGGATTTTGGTAGTTGTTTTCAGAAGATGTTTAGGCAATTAAACGTTAACCTTTTTATCAATTTTATATAACTTGCTAATATACAGCAATAAACAGTCATATCGTTTATAAGTATAATCTTTCGAGGTCGCTGAAACGAAACGGCGGGCAGATTCGAAAGGGATTACCGTTTATACCTTGCCATGCAAGTAACTTGACAGATGTTGTGCATAAATAACATAAGATGTAGGATAAAACTCAGTGCAGTTGTTTCAGTACATCAACTACTATATATTTATATTTAATAATTGATCTTCAACTATATACATATATATACATTCATATATATATATATATATATATATATAAGTGTATTATTGTATCCAGGTGTTATTCTATTATAAATAGGTCAAAATGTGAAAGTAACACAACCAATACAGTTTATGTTTGTACTTTTCCTTTGGATCGTCTGGTTAATCTAGTGAGGATCTTTACTGTGGAGTTAAACTAATCAAAATAAGGATACATTGCTGTAGTTTCTAACTCGTAATTCAATACGTAATCCTAACTAGCTTTCACTTTTAAAGGAAATGGACATTGCTCGTTTTTGTGTTAAACCTTTTTAACTGATGTGGAAGTTATTTCCACCATCAAATGGTATAACGGGTATACGAATTGCAAGTGAAACCTACTGGTTCACATTTAATAGGAAACAATTCAATAGAAATTGGTTTTCACTTTACTCATTCTTAACGCATCTGTGTTATATCATGAACGCGAAATAATAGGCAACGTTTTATCCTAAACCTAAACTGCTAATCTACACAATCTCAAAATCTTTTAAGAGGTCTGAATTTTTATTAGTTCATACAAATCTTAGCATCATTAATTCGGTTGCCGGCGAATTCGCATAAATTTTTAAGGCGAATTCGTAAAAGTATTTGTAGTCGTACGTATAACCTGGGAACCAATTGAATCTTTTTGTGGATAAGCTTTTGTAGAGGAAAAAACTAGAAAGAGAGAGGAATAACGTTTAAAAACTACACAAATATGATCGCAAAATAAAAAGGAAACGCGATATGGGCAAGCTTTAATCATACTGTTTAGAGTTCAGAATATTGACAGGCAGATTAAAAGTAGTACATTGATAGTTTATTTCGTTTTCATTCTTTACTTACGCCTGTTAACCCTCATGGGGGAGCATAACCCGTCCACCAGCATCCTCCATCCAACTCTGTCCTGGGCAATCCTTTCCAGTTACTACTCATCCTTTTAATGTCTGCTTCGAATTCCCAACTCGGTGTGCTCTTTGGTCTTCCTCTTTTCTTTTTCCATTCAGGATCCAAAGTTAGCACTTGCCTCATACGCAGTTTGGTGGTTTTTGCAATGTATGTCCCATCTACCTCCAACGTCTTTTCCTAATTTTCTCTTCAGCTCGAAGCTGGTTTGTTCTCTCTCATAGAAGGCTGTTTCTGATGGTATTTGGCTAATGGACATTGAGTATCTTGCATTGACAATTGTTTGTAAGTACTTATACCTTTTTGATGATGGTTGCGGTTGTTCTCGGAGCTTCAGTTCTATACAAAAAAACTGTCATGATGCTCTTACTAAAGACTTTGACCTTTATGTTGGTGCTGATAGTCGCAATTTAGTCTGTGTACGATCGATCCTTATGGAATCCGGACTGTTGATCTCTAAGTTGGGCGTTTACTGGGTCTTCCATTCGGTCCAACAACACTTAAAAACTTCTCCTGATTCTGACAGTAGTGTGATACCTCTTTAGTTCTCATACTTGCTCAGACTTTTCTTTGGTACCTTGATGAGCTATCTTTCTTCCTAGTCTGTCGGTACTTATTTATCTTCCCAGATCTTCCTGAATGGAACGTGGAGCATGTTTGCAGTTACTTCTGTGTATGACTTTAGTGCTTCAGCTGGTATGCTGTCTGGCGCTGCTGTTGCTTTCTCACTCTTGATTCGTCTGATGGCCATCCTGATTTCTTCGATCGTTAGTGGAGTCACATTTATAGGGAGGTCTATGTGTACTGCTTCTGTGTCCGATAGATTTAATGGAGCTGGCCTATTCAACAGTTCCTCAGTGTTCCACTCATCTGTGATTGTCTTGCCTTCTTTGTTCTTAGCCGGTCTCTAGTTTACTATATTTCTCTACCAGCTTCCTTGTTGTGTCATATAGTTGTTTCACATTTCCTTCCGTCTCAGCTTTTTCCTTTATCGTTGCTAGGTTTTCCACATGTTTCTGCTTGTCAGCTCTAATGCTCTTCTTCACTTGTGTTTTTGCTTCAGTGTATTCATCTTGTGTCTTTCTCTGTTCTTATTCAGCTGTTGTTAATTGCTGTTTTGTCCTTCCTTTCCACGAAGATCTATTCCTTATGATAATAATTCTTGCGGCCCAGAACCTCCTTATACACTTAAGTTAGTGCTTCTTTGATCCCTTTCCAGTTGTCCTCCGTAATAGTTTCTTTCAATAAATCTCGTTAGGCTTGGGACCTGTTATGGAGAGTTGTCCTGAATTCGCTGAGTTTGTTAGTATCTCAAAGGAAGGCTGTATTGAACCTTTGTGATGCTGTTCCCCTGATTGTCCATTGTTTCTTTAGCCTCAGTTTCATCTTTGTCACAATTAGGTGGTGATCTGAAGCTATGTCAGCTCCTTTCCGGGTTCTTACGTCTGCCATTGACCTGAATATCTTACTGATGCAAGTATGATCTATCCGGTCCCCCGTGGTGTGGTCCGATGAGACCCATGTAACTCTGTGTATGTGTTTGTGGGGGAATATTGTGCCGCCTATAACGATTTTGTTGAACGCACATAAATTTTAAAATCTGTCACCATTTTCATTTCTTTCTCCCTGTCAGTTCATGTCGTCCCATGATATCTTCATACCCGGTGTTATCCGTTCCGACTTTGGCACCCGACAACCTAGTCAGCACCTGTTAATTAATGTCTTACTAATGGTGTATTGGCCACTGAATCTGTTTTTGAAAGATACTGTAGTCTTTTCAAGTTTAAACAGCTGCTGCAAAATTATCCGACTGCATTTGTCCGTTACTGTGTAAGGATTTATAATGCTTTTTTCGTCGACATAAACCAGGAGCTTTTAAGTTGCAATATTTAGTATCTTTTGAAAGGATTTCACTTTTGATATATCTACCGTCTTCATCCATTCTAGGAAAAACGATATTCAACGACACCAAAGCGTTTAGAGGTGACGACTATACGTATTATCATTTGAATTTTGATTGCCGTGTAAAACAATAGCTTTTTGATTGAACTTTTTCAGAAGATATTCCTTGACAAAATCAAACAAGCAACTATTTAGTCAATCGTCCAGCTTTGCATTAATATTTCTTATATCATTACACAACGTTCAAGATTAGTAATGAATGATCAACAGTCTGTTGATGGAAAATTATCCCAATCCGTGCACTTTAGTGATGGTGTTTTCGATCTCACTGATGAACACAATGAAGAGTGCTCGGACTCAGTAAGCTTCTCCCCTTTTAAGTGTTCTATTCAGACTTCCAAAATCTTTCATTTATTTATTTCAACACATAAACATTGGTACAAGGAAGCACCAAATAGATATGCGCCACATAAATCATTCGATATGTGTGAGGGCTGGGATGCTGCCTAGGTGCCCAAACCGAAGCAGGACTTCCAAAATCAAATTAGTGTGAATCCTTTTCGAGGTAGAGATCTATCTACTCAGTTTGGGGTTACACTTTCAGGATGGTGCTATCTGGGTGCTCTAAATAAAATGGGTGAATGCGAGATTCGAACCTCCCACCTGTTGGTTAAAAGTTGAATCCATTAATCACAAACCGTCTGCTTCCTAAGATTTTCTGAAAAAGTGCTTATGATTTATCATAAAGTTTTAAGGAATGGAAATCTAGGATTTGCATAGACGTAGCTAGGTTGAAACGTTGGTGAAGATAGCTTGTAGTAACCCCACAGTGGTTTTGTGTTTTATTAGTCGTAAATGATAAAACACCCTTGTGATTAGCCAAAGTATGGTTTCATGTTTGTATCCTTGTTATTTTCCGATTCTTCCAACATTTGCATCTTCACGACATAGTTTTCCTCATGAGATTTCTTTGTCCGCTATTGTCACAAGCCTTTTTCTGTTGTAAGCAATAAAAATGAATCATAGGAATTATTACAGTATGGTTAAGCTACACACTAACAAGACTAAACCCGCTAACGTATTTTAAAACTTAGTAAACTCCAAAGGGGACAACGTCACGCTCATAACCATAACCTGTTTGATTAAACAAAATATGAACTGTAGCATGAAGCGAAAACATGGCCAAAAGTCGTACTGTATCTGACCAATCAACATTATATGATGTCCGTCAAATCATAGATTTGTTCAAATTACTACTTACAAACGGTAATCGGCTGATCACTGCCTGTTTCTACTTACTGATCCGAGCCATCCAAAATGTAGGTTATCTGTCTTTATTTGCTGAGTGGCTAGAAATCAGTAACTGGAGACCCTAAGTAACATAACTCATAACTCTTCGCCATTCCGTAAGCATGATTGCTACTTTGTCTTTAGTTGAATATCACATATTTTATCAATCTATTCTATGCGTAACCAGCTTGTTGTAATATTCCTTCACTCATAAAGACTTCATTTTGCGATACTTTGAATTGTGATAACCTGAAGCATTGAGACATATGTTATTGTGTGTGAGTAACGTCTTCTCAAGGCCTTTTGGATAGATGATACAAGTTCTCTGAATTTTGAATAAAAAATGTGATAAATCCTCTTATATCTGTATCTATTTTAACTTTGATCATGAGCGATTTTGTTTTTTTGTTGTTAGTCTAAGTCTAACAATATTCTGTTGCGTGTTATTGATTGGTGTGGGGAAAAGTTGGCATGGAGTTTTGGCATTTCCTCACCGAAATATTATTATATAATTGAAAATGCCAAAATGAGAGCGTCAGAAAGAGATTTCATTGACTTGGGTGATATGGATGATCCACATGTCGCCATTCTTCAGGTAGTCTACTTGTTCAATATCAATCTCACATGTTTTAATTATTGCAAGTGCACTAACCGCCTGCATATAGTCTGTTTTTGTGTGATATCATGAATGTTTAGCTTTTTCGATTATATAACTATATATAAGTTCAGAATTGACAGGACCATCATCATTTGCGACTTATCTTGTTTATTCTAATACTGATAAATTCAGTGAAAAGTATTAATTATTAGCATTTCAACTAAAAGTAGTCCAATGGTTACCACTCTTTAATGTGATTGTTATTGTAGGTTTCCAACCAGACTGAAAGCAGATCAGCTTATTCTGCATTTATTTATCGTTTCTGCTAGTCATTAAGTCATTTACAATGTAAATAAATAAACAATATATTTATAATATCCCGATGAGTATAAAAATTAGATTTTCTGACGTTTCATGATCTAGTGTAAGCCACTTCTTCAGAGAATAAATAACCAAATTAAAATTAATTCAAGTTTAAATAGTACAATGGACCAACAGGAATATTATGTGACCAATCTATTCATTGGGACATCACAAATATATTATTTATTTATAACCGTCTACCCAATGTTCAGTTTAATCGGAATTATCAAGTTAAACCTTGGTAATGATGCCTACAAATGTAAATAAATATTTCGTCCTATAGTTTATACATCGTATATACTACAAACCGAATCGAAATATAACTCTTATTTCCCTGTAAATCCTTTATGTAGTTATAGCACGAATATCTATATAAATTTATCTCATTCTCCTACAAATTAAGTGATTATTTGATGTAAAAATATTTATTATCTGGGATCTCAAAGCATTAAAATCTAAATATAATATCGGTCAAACTGTTGTTTAATTAAAAATTAACACAACAGACTTATTTCGGTTAAGTTAACCAAATTTTCAAACTGTGTTGTTGGAAAATGTTATTTCAGGGCTGCCATATTTCGTATAAAATTGTTTTCGATATGTTCAGTTTTTGTCTTCCTATTACAATACAACTACCTTCAAAGCTTTCTCTTTTTGTTCATTCAAATTTAACCTTACCATCAACCTTGCTTCTATGCTTATACGTTTTGAAAATATGTTGTTTAATATATGGTGTCTGAAGTCGCATTTCTCTTTTTTTTCTTCCTTTTTTACAGTGTTCGGTGCCAAATAAAAACTATACTCATCCATCAGTTCTTTCATCTGGCTAAACGTATCGTGAATAGTTTGACCAATTTTTCTTCAATCTTTGTGACTATCTATAAAACAATCCAACCCTTAAAGTAGTATTGTCAGATATTCTATCACATGTGGAATATATCATATTGTTTTAAGTATTTATATAATTCACTGTGAACGTACTAATTACTTTCTGGCTGTAATTTTTATACAATTTTATCCTCTGCTAACAATATGTGAAAGATGCTTATTTATTGTATACTTCAGAAGTGGTTTTTCCTCTGCTTATCGATACATATATTTCATCATATACTTTGTAGGCATTGCTTTTTTGTAACAATTATATTGCATCATTGTATAATTTACTTTTTCATTCTGTCGACAAATTATTGAAACTCAATTATCAAACAACACAGGGTCACGTAATTCAACTTTAAACATTAAGTATTATGTTAGGACAAATTCTTTGTTGCTCAAACCGAAGTGGATAGATCGAGGCTCAAATATATGATATACTGATTAAAAGTCAGATCTTAACCATTAAGCCACAGCACCAATCTATTGTATAATATATATGATTTGACTTTTCTGACACCCGAACAAGATTCAGCGTAATTATAACACACTTTTTAATGAATTATTGATAGCAATTCTTCCACTTAGTAAGAATAAACTTAGTAGTAATTGCTGATTATATTCATAACTAAATGAACATCCCTTCACTATTTGTTTAATTCTGAAAATACTGTTTACATTACTTCGCTATTATACTCTTAATTCATCAGTTACATTTGTATGGTGTTAAATGCTTGATATATTGCAGTTTAATAAAATATCAAAAATTGATATATAAAGTTTAGTAATAATTTCGACAGGGAAACATCCATTTGAAAGTTCGTAGTTGAACTGATTTGAACTAAATCTGCAGTAAAAGTGGGGTTTTAAGTTAGCCAATTATCGCGAAAAATTTCAATTCATTTGTAGCTTCTTTCTAGCTATGTGTATACATGTATATAAAATGAAAATTCTACAACCTAATCTTTTTGGTCTTAATTCGGAAAAGGTACGGTATATATTGAACTACTAGCAAATTATCAGTAGTTAAATGATTCAGACGAAAAGCATATACCTTCTTTCTAATTGTAGTGACTGCTTCATCACCTTTGTCATATATTGACTGGAAGCAGTAAATTAGATCAGTAACCGTTTCAGAAAAGTTTTCTAACTATATGCTAGTCCATAACAGCCTTGCCGTAGAATATAAGTTGTTTTATGGTTTATGTTTCTGAATTATAGAGAGTTGTAGAGAATTTTCATCATTTATGCATTCAGTTTTACACGACAAGTAGGAGACCGAAAACGGTATGCTCATAATCTATTCCCAAAATTAATTTGTCGGTATGAGGTTTAGTTATTTTCGTAATGCTTGTCACCTTGAATATAGTAATTCCAGAGATTTATCGTTTAATCACTTAAAGTCAATACCCAAAGTGCTAGTTTATTTTGAGTTACAAAACTTTGTTTTCTGTCCCATAGTTGATACTGTCTCCAGTTTCTACCTCACTCATTGTTTATGTCTGTACGTAAGCTAGTGATTGGAGGCAGTCGTTAGGAAGTCTTGGGTTTCGTGCTAGTTGAGACGCGTTAGCAAATTGATTGGTATAATTAAGTCGCTATTGAGAAATAAATGACATACATGATACTCGTCACTAATCGGTGAACAATCTATTGTAAATATTTTTATGTCACTGGATTGACAGTAGTAATCATTATATACGTTTAAAAACTAACATCTAGAAGCATATGGACCACGAAAAAGTTCTAATTGGGGCTCTATTTCTTTTTAATACACTTCAAAGAAGTGATTTGAAACCATTTTCTTGTAAATCCTTTGAAGGATTACGGTAATTAAGTTCAAATCAACATTTTAACCTATATGTAGCATGTATGTACTTTTTATCCGTAAGTCCTAGTCAGAGTATTGATCTAATTTTCATTCTTCTTGAACTCCATAATTTCGTCGACTTTATTTATATCCGTTAAACTAAACTATATTAAAATAAATGAATAATGAAAACATTACAACTGCAGGTGAAGTTGTTTCATCCTAGTATGCTGATATTAATTATTTGTCAGTTTTTAATCTCTGTTGAGGAACCAGGAAATACTGAATATATATTTCGTTCTAGCGCACGAGACTATCTACAAACTAAACGGGACTCCACAGGTCTATAAATCAATTCATCTGTCTATCAATTCAATTCTCTGGGGCTTTTAGTGTCATGTAAATTCTAGATTTCAATATTTTTCAAGCTGAACGTGTGTCCATGATTGTCTATATGCATTAACATAAGCAATGATGTTATTTAATATTCGTTCAGGATAGAATAAAGGCGGAATTTCGAAATCGTGGATAGAGGGCGTACTAAGAACATCAGAGGATTTGTAGAAGCTAGGCAACCAAGTCAGTCAAAAAACATTGGAATCGATCTAACTTATCAACCAATCACAATAATCGTCGACAAATATGGGACTAAGAATCAGATCGAGAGGAGAAACAATCAAAATAAAGTTGCAACGAATGACATGTTATGTCTACATTAACCAATCACGATCGAGGTCGACAGCATAAGCTGTTAGTCATCAGCGAAGAAATCCGAATACTTCACTTCTATCTGAAGTTTATGCTGATGATGTTCAGAAGAATAATGAAAGCTCCACGACTAAATCATCCAGCTCAAACAAAAGAACTTCACCTTTGTCATCCACCTAAACTACACGTCTTCTCTACTAACTCATCCAAATTCACGTCATTGAGAATTGAAGTCACACTGAAATAAATAAACAGTTCAAAAAAAGATTAGATAAAAGAACAAAAATATTAAAACCATATTGTAATTAGTTTTTTTTCTTTTTTGTTTCTTCAAGTGATTGGCATAATGAAGTAATATGGTAACACAGCTTTAGCAGAATAGATTATATTTATTGTGTAATCATTAAGTGGGAAACATAAGAACAAGAATAGAAATGGTAATAACAATATTAAAATTACGTGAAAGCTACTGTAAACCATAATTTGTTTATTTGAAGTTCTCTTTTTATTCTTACGGTCCTTTTTTATCTACGAAATAAAGGTGTTTCACTTGGTTCTTAATTATTATGAAAACGAAAATGTAATTGGCATTTAAATAGCTTTCTTTATTTAATAGTTTGAAGAATTATATATATATATATATATATATATATACTTGGGAATAAACATGTGTGTTGCAGAAAATGCTGAAACTGTTCTTCTTCATTAAATTATTAACTAGGAAATATCATAACAAGAATAATATAGATTAGAAAAAGCAAAATAGGAGTTCAACTGAGAAAGTAATAAAAACATGAAGAACAAAATCAAGGGATTATCAATTTGAATAAGCATGCGGTATAATATAACATAAGTTTAATAATAATTATAATCACTTCAAACACCAAGTATATGGATTCATTATAGTCTAATTGAAGTATTTATACGACTCCTGTTGGTAGATAACGATAATAATGAGGATCACGTCGGGAACGACACAAAAGACGTTTAATTCTTCCCCTTAGTTCAGAAGTCTGACTACCTTCAGGATACACTAATCCCTTCCCATAGCCCTACAAATAAAATACAAACATATTATAGGAAACTAGGAGACTTTGGTTATAACAAATATTTTACTTACATGCATACTTATATTTCATATCTTGGGATAAGTTTAAAATTGTTAGTAGCTCATAGTAAATAGAATTATATCAGCAGTATCCACTAACATTCTAGTTCTGATATCGCTCTTGTAAATGTACATTTTACTGAATGTAATTGTAATTGAATACTTTTGCTTCAGAATTCTTAAATTTTTCACAAAAAATTCAATAATTTCGTCTTACAAATATAAGTGATTATTAACAAGTTTAATGATTTCAGTCACCCAATAATTATGTTTATCACTAATCATAGGTTGTTTTTTTTTGTGTGTAGAACTTCATTCTTTCCTAATAGATTACTTGTTAACTACTTATCTTGATTGTATTTTATGTAACAGTTTGAATATGATTTATGTATACGGTTCGTTATATTAAACTATTATACTGTATATTCCTTTACATTACTGAGTGTATATGATATTATGAACTGAATCAAGTACATATAAGTAGAAACATTTTCATAACTGTTATTTTTAAACAATTATGATGAGATGGCAAGTAATGTTCGTAGAATTTTCCTTTCAAACTACACACATTTATATGAATATATGTTATATGTAGTTTATTCAATGAAATAAGTAACATTCCAAGAAATTTATAATATTTTCTATAATATCAGTTAAATTATTTGAATGGTTACATTTTCTTCCAATACATAGGCACATTTATAATACACATATTCATGCATCAAATAGGAATAGTTGTCTATTCAATACAATATATATCATGAAAACTAACAGTTATTATGTTAGACTAAACAATATTGAATAATACTGAGAGTTAAAATAAATCGTACCCATGCAAAATACATACATATTTCATGCATAAATATCAATGTTTCAATCTATTTACGATTGTTTCATTACATAAATTGTATTTTAACTTCTAATTACGAAAATTAAATAATTAAAACAAATGAGTTTTCCATTAAATCTATTCAATCGAATTGTCATACATGTTCGATAGCATTTTATTAAAGTAATAAATATAATAGTAAAGGAGTTTTGGCATGATAATTACAAAATACATCATACTATTACTAATTATTTAACAGGTATCAGCTTTTAAATTATATTTCGTCTATAAGAACAACAATTTTCTTCTGGTAAAGTTATCATAGATGTATCTTATTAGCTTCAGGAGTAAACTACTTATTCCCTCTCTAACTGATATTAATCACAAATTATTATTATTATTTTTCCGACTATACCATTGTTGTCTTTGGACTTGTATAATAAAGATTTGTCTCAAGCTCTGATGTATTCAGACTTGGTCCATGTGATCTGTATCCATTCAA